TGAATTTTAAAAAATTAGAAAAGTCTAAAATAACGAATTTGGCTAGAATATTACAATGATGAAATCTGATTGGCTTTTGATATAAAACCTTTAAGGCCTGATTGTAAAAACTTTCCAGTGGTTTGAGTGTCATTTGGTGAGTCTGAGACCAGATCGTAGCTCCATAAGACAGATGTGAGAATAATTGACTTCAGGAATACAGTATCTCTGCACACTGAAGTGTCAAACATTTTCTAATGATTTTTAAACAATTTATATTTGATCTAATTGTTTTGCAGATTTTGTCAATGTGGTTTTTACAATTTAACTGAGCAGATTATTCCTAAGTATTTTTTCTGTAATATTTGCTCARTAGGAACCCCATTGATTTGAATATTTAAACACTGTGATGATGCTTTCTTAATTGAAAAACAAACACACTTTGTTTTCTTAACATTAGGGGTTAAACAGGAGTCATTTAGACATGCTGCTATTTTCTGCAAACTGACTTTTCCCAAACTGCGATGCAGCTTTTTGCTCACAAACACGCCCACAAGTGTGTGTACCCCACAGGAGAGGTTACACCACAACGGCTGAAACTTCCTGAAGTCTGTTTGAAATTAGGGGTAGCGTTACACACGAGGATTAGATTTATTATGTTTTATGAGCTAAAGRAATGGGGGTGGCATTATGCTCAAAGTGCATTTACAGGTGAATAAATATTACTAAGTCTAACRTAGTTTGTGTGTGTGTTCTGCCTGTATTTAGGTGCTCTGAAGTGTCCTGAGTGCCAGTTTGTTTATGGAACGAAGTGGGAGTTGAACCGTCACCTGAAGAACAAACACAACCTGAAAATGGTTGAAGCCAGATGGGAGGTAAATAACATGCAAACACACAGGAAACAAACTGCCTCTATCTTAACCCTTACATTTTATGACTCAAATCAAGTACTTTCAGTTGGTATTTGCCTTTGGTACAAAGAAACAGCTTAGTATTCTTTACACACAGAGTGCAAGCAGTAAATGTTTCAGATGAAGGAGGTTTGTTGTTGTCACACCTGTGCAGGTAGCTGAGGAAACAGAGGCTCAGTGTGAGTCTGCAGAGGTTGGAGGGCAGCTCACAGATGCACCTGTAGCCATCCTGGAGGACCATGGTAACAACATGGTGCCTATATTTTAGAGGATTGACCCTGTTAAACTGCAGCCTTTAACCTGTTACCGCGTGTGTTTTTGTGTGTTCAGTCCAGCAGATCACTAAGCTCAGCTCAGAGACTCACAGTGCAGTGGCTTCCTTGGTGGCCATGGCTCCCGGGACTGTGGCTGTAGTCCAACAGGTAAACAGCATCACATGACTTTGTTGTGTTCAGCTGAGCCATGAATCAAACTATACTGATGTGTGATTAAAGTTACAGGTGGCTSAAGAGCAGGAMGTTGGTGRGCGTAGCGACCAGCTGATGGTGGTGAAYGCAGACGGGGCCRTGGATGGGAACCAGCTGATGGTGGTGGAGGAGGCCAGCGGCTTGGAGGCTCTGACGCTCCTCGCTGAGGGAGAAAACGCGCACCACTATATCGTTTACATCCAAGAACAAACTGTAGAGATCAACTAGGAGGCATCAAATATCAACATCTTGGAGCCAGAAACAAATCAGTCAAGATGGAAAGGATGTTTGCATGACCTCMTTAAGATCTGATTTCTTCACAGTGATTTTGAGGTCACTCAGGAAACAACAGGTTATCTGACATTTGTGACTTTGTAGCATATTTGCTACGTTTAAATAAAATCATTCTACTACACTGCTTAATCCATGAAAAGGACTTCAMTTGATAAAATTTCTGTAGGTTTTGTTGGACGATGAACCTCGTTGTTCAAAACGACATCAGACCGTTGTACTGTTGAGGCATTCAGACGAGCACAAGAAGTCAATTAATTTCTAACATCTCCAGCAGATGCATGAAATGTGTTTTATTTGCAGATGACACAACATTTTTCTGCTTTGGTAAAAGTATAGAACAGATGTCGGAAATGATGGAAACAGAATTTGTAAAAGTACAAACTTGGTTTCAACTTAATAAATTATCATTAAATTTGGATAAAACTAATTATATGATATTCAGMAATAGAAAGAAAACTGTTAATGTTTCATTTAGAGTCGATGGTATTGAGATTTGCAGAGTCAGTGAGGTGAAGTTTTTGTGTGTCATTGTTGAAAACCTGACATGGAGACCTCATGTAAATCACTTAAGAACAAAAATAGCAAAATCTATTGCAGTACTGCATGAAGTAAAGGAGTTATATTATAACTTTCAGAGTTATGAGAAAGCACTATTTATATTATACAATTCAACAACTGTTCCACATTTGATCTATTGTATAGAAGTCTGGGGTAAAGCATGTAAAACAATTACTAATCCCATCTTTATTTTACAGAAAAGAGCTGTAAGAATTGTAACTAGAAAACATTACAGTCACCCATTAAATATATTATTTCATCAATTGCAATTATTAACATTTTAAGTGTTTGTTGATTTTAATATTTTACAGGTCATGCATAAGGCAAATAAAAATGTATTACCTTTGAACATTCAATCTGTGAAGAGGGAAAGTTGTTATGATCTTAAGAGACTAGAATTTTTTGTAAAACCTAAAATTTGAACAAATTTAAAGGACAGATGTTCTTCAGTCAAAGGAATAAGATTATGGAATAATCTGGATAATGATTGTAAAAATGCTGGCTCGATTTGTTTAAGAGAATGACAAAAGTTTAATTGTTAAAGAAATATGAAGTTGTATATAAATATATATAGTGATAAATATAGCTGTATAATTTGTATTTGTAAGAGTTG